GTCTCCCACTAGTGTAACTCGTGCTGTCTGTTTGGCAAAAATCCAGGAAGAGGAGCTCGATCTGCAACGTCCTAGACAACGGTTCCAGAGACATACACCAATACAGACCGTGCCTTCTGTAATCCAACCTGTTCAGCAAGCAGGCAAGAAAGCAATAGATGATTTTGGTCATGAGAGACAGCTACGAGATTTCAGAAAAGCAAATGGTCTATGCTTCAGGTGTGGAGATAAGTACAACAAGGAACATCAATGTAAGAAGCCTATGCAGCTACTTACTATACAAGTTGGTGAGCATGGTGAAATTTTAACTGAAGATGCAGTGCAAGCTTTGGAATTACTAACTGAACCCACCACATCGGAGTGCTGTCAGATTTCAGCCCATGCTGTTTCAGGAGCCGACAATACATAAACCATCCGCATAAGAGCATTGGTGGGCAACCAAGTCATGTTAGCACTCGTGGACTCGGGCAATAGTCATAGTTTCGTGGATGAAAATTTTGCCAAGCGTGCTTCGTTGGATTTGGTCGCTGTTCCAGCAGTGAAAGTTACAGTTGCAAATGGTCAAACTATGGAATCCAAGTTTCAAACCCCTAATCTGACTTGGTGGGCACAGGGTCACACTTTTGTGACACCAATGAGAGTGCTACAACTGGGGGCCTATGATGTGGTGCTGGGAATGGACTGGCTTAAGTGTCACAGTCCGATGATTTGCGATTGGGAGGGCAAATCATTACAGTTTGCCCATGGTGATACTATCATTTCCCTTCAAGATATGCAGCCTGTTTCTACTATGCAATTGCAAGCTATGTCAGTAGAGCAATTGGACAAAGCTCTGCTTGGCAATGATATTTGGGCTATGGCCATGGTTGATCCTTCTTCAGGTGATGTTGTTTCCACGCCTGGCTCCTATCCAGAAGATCTGACTGCAGTTTTAACAGACTTTCAAGATGTGTTTGAAACTCCAAGTGGCCTGCCTCCACATAGAGTATATGATCATGCAATCACGTTGGAAGTGGGTCATAACCCTCCAAACTCTCGTCCTTACCGATACTCGCCATAACAAAAGGACGAGATTGAATGACAAGTGGCAGAGATGATCAAGGCAGGGATTGTGAAACCTAGTATAAGCCCGTATGCATCACCAGTACTTCTGGTTAAGAAAAAAGACGGCAGCTGGCGTTTTTGCGTGGATTACCGCAAACTCAACGCCATCACTGTGAAGAACAAATTCCCTCTGCCCATGGTCGACGAATTACTCGATGAACTGGCAGGATCAAAATTTTTCTCCAAGCTGGACCTCAGGGCAGGTTATCACCAAATCCGTATGCATGAACCAGATGAGGAGAAGACTGCATTCAAGACACATTCAGGACACTTTCAATTTCGTGTTATGCCATTTGGGGTGACCAATGGACCACCAACATTTCAGTGCTTAATGAATAGCATCTTTGCCCCAACTAATCGCAAGTATGTCATCACATTTTTGGACGACATTCTAGTTTTCAGTACCACTTGGGAGGAACATCTGGAGCATCTTCGCTCGGTACTACAGACCTTGCGCGAGCATCAGTTGTTTGTGAAGCTTTCCAAATGCTCTTTTGCTCAGAATGAAATCCAATATTTGGGTCATGTGATTTCTTCTGAAGGTGTGGCTACAGACCCAGAGAAGACTATGGCGATGGAACATTGGCCTCAACCTACCAACGCTACTGAATTGCGTGGGTTCCTTGGGTTGACTGGGTACTACCGCAAATTTGTCCGAAATTATGCTAGTATGGCCAAGCCTTTGACTCAATTGCTGACCAAGAAAGGTTTTGTTTGGACAGAGCAAGCAACTGTAGCTTTTCAAACATTGAAAACAGCTATGACTAGTACCCCTGTATTGGCTCTACCGGATTTCAGTCAACCTTTTACAGTCGAGACTGATGCTTCTGCCACAGGAATTGGAGCCATACTCTCACAGAATAACCATCCTATTGCTTATCTAAGCAGGGCTTTGGGTGTGGCCAATCAAAAGTTGTCTGTCTATGAGAAAGAATTCTTGGCTGTCATTATGGCCATTGATAAGTGGCGCCCGTACCTTCAGAGGGGTCCCTTCACTATCATTACAGACCACCGAAGCCTATGTCATTTACAGGATCAACAACTCATTACTGATCTTCAGCGCAAGGCCATGGCTAAGATGGCGGGCCTTCAATTTCAGTTTAAATACCGCAAAGGCTCGGAGAACAACGCCGCAGATGCATTATCTCGTGTGGGTCATTTGTACACAATCACAGCAGTCTCGACTTGCCAACCAATGTGGATGCAGGAGGTTATGAATTCCTATCAAACTGATCAATCAGCTCTGGATCGATTAGCTCCTCTGGCAGTTCATAGTCCGGATGAACACGGTTATTCACTTGATCAAGGACTGATTAAATATCAAGGACGTCTGTGGATTGGTAATAATTCTGCGCTGCAAACAAAACTAATCAGTGCTCTGCATTCAAGCGCTGTCGGGGGTCATTCAGGCGTCAGGGCCACTTATTACCGTGTGTCCAAATTATTCCGATGGTCTGGCATGAAACAACAAGTTTATGACTGGGTGAAGCAGTGTCAAGTTTGTCAGCAAGCAAAACACGAGCGAACACATCCAGGTGGGTTGCTGCAGCCTTTGCCAGTGCCTACGCGCCCTTGGAAGGACATTACCATGGATTTCATAGATGGGCTTCCGAAATCAGAAGGATTTGAAGTAATCCTAGTGGTGGTCGATTGACTCACTAAATACGCTCACTTTTTTCCTCTGAAACACCCCTATACAGCTCAGTCCGTAGCCACAGTTTTCATTGATAATGTAGTTCGCCTTCATGGAGTTCCGGCATCGATTGTTTCCGACCGAGATAAGGTGTTTACCAGTTTTTTTTGGAGGAAGCTCTTCAAGGAGATAGGCATGAAGTTATGCTACTCTACTGCCTATCATCCTCAAACGGACGGGCAATCAGAGCGTGTTAACCAGTGTTTAGAACAGTATCTACGTTGTGCCGTTCATGACAGCCCGGCAAGGTGGAAACGCTGGTTACCAATGGCAGAGTTTTGGTACAATTCCTCTTATCACACATCACTTGGCAACACTCCTTTTAAGGCTTTATATGGCATTGATCCTAATTTTGGTACTATGCCGATTGACACGGGAGAATTACCTACTTCCCTGGCAGAGCTAGCAGCAGATTGTGAAGATTTTTTGGCTCTGTTACGTGACCATCTCCTGCGTGCTCAGCAGAGAATCAAGTCACAGGCTGATAAGCATCGTACGGATAGGGAATTTGTTGTTGGTGAGGAAGTTCTGCTCAAACTCCAACCATATGCACAATCTTCGCTGGTCAACCGCCCCTGCCACAAGCTTGCATTAAAGTTCTTTGGTCCATTTCGTGTCACTGAAAGAATTGGTGTTGCTGCTTATCGTTTGGATCTTTCGGCTGCCAGTCTCATACATCCTGTTTTTCATGTTTCCCAATTGAAGCCATTTACTGCAAACTACTCTCCAGTGTTTGCAGACTTGCCTGAGCCACCAGATTTGTCGGCTGTTACATTGCAGCCTGAGGCGATTCTTGAACGACGGATGGTAAAGAAAGGTAACTCAGCAATTCCTCAGATCAAAGTCCAGTGGCACGGCATTGCTGCAGATCATGCAACCTGGGAAGATTATTATGTTCTTCGGGCGCGTTTTCCGGAGGCTTCAATCTGGGAGGAGCCTGCATCTCAAGGGGGGGAAAGTGTCACGTCCCCACCACTGTTGGTGTCGACGGACGACAGACAGGTGGACCCAGGGTCCACCGGTCAGGCTAGCACCGTGCAAGTGTGACTTGAGTGGGTCTGGTTAGGTGTGTGGCGTTGTGTGTTTGGTGTATGGACTACTTAGTCCTGGCTTGTACTCAGATCTGGAAAACAGAAAGGGAAATAGAAAGAAACGTCTGAATCTCTCTCTCGTTCTCTGAACTCTCTCTCGTTCCTCTGTTCCCCATCCTCTTTCCCCTTCAATCTACTAGAAAACTGTGAGATCTCTTCCAAAGGCCTCACAGGCAGGTGGCGGCCGCAAGCGCCAGCGAGGCGGTGACTCCGGCGCGACGACTTCGCTGGGCCTGGGCGGCCGCTCCGGCGACGCAGAGACTCCAGCAGGCCTCGGCGCGAGCTCGGTGGCGTCGGCGCTAGCAGGCGGAACACGGATAGGTTGGGTACCGCTACCGCCTGCTCGGCTGCCCGTTGCTCAATTTTGTTCTGTTTCGTTTTTTTCTTCATATTATATCATATATGTTTCTTTGTGATGCTCATTATATTCGTGTATACGAAAATTTGCAACAACATCTGCGGCTTGCCTATGCTTCGAAAATTCGTAGGACCGCCGCTGATATGCCCCTTCGCTCACAGTGGTGTGTTTGCTGCAGATGGATCGATTTCTTCATCACTAGATAAAAGAAGCAGCTCAACCTGCCGGCCGGATGATAATTCTCACTGTGGCAACAAAATAACATATTCAGTACCAGACATTCCGGAGGTATGTTCCCATAATGAAGGACTTGTATTGCAAGTGAAAAATATCAGCAGAATGGCTAAATCAAAATTTGGGAACATATCTTTCACTGCTGCAAGCTTTGCTTTGTTCTGCTGCAGCTAACCCTCCAGCAGAAAATTGGTCCACGGGTAGATCCGCCATGGTCTTGATACGTACTAGACTTCCTATAACTCTTTTCAGCTGTGTCATTTGTTTTATTTGCCGCGATTGCTCGTCTTCCTTCTGTTTATGCCTACAAGAACCAGTTGCAGATTGTCCTTAGCCTGGGTCAATTTTAGATTATCCCCTCCTTTCCCCGCTTAAATCCAACATTTACAAATCTAGCATTGTACATTATTGTTCCGTATTATGAGTAGTTCCTTGGTACATTTTCACTGAAATTCTAATGATGATATTTTTCTACTTTTGCATGCAGGACATCTGGCGTCATATACATTTCCTACTGCCAATGCAAGATGCTGCCCGTGCTGCCTGTGTGTCTCACTCCTTTCTATGCTCCTGGAGATGCTATCCCAATCTTATCTTCACGGAAGAAACAATGTGCTCCAAAGAAAATTTACGTAAGAGAACAGTGGGATCAAATGGTATACAAGACTACAACAACAATATCCACCACGTTTTAACAAACCACTCAGGCGCTGGCGTGAGGAAATTCAGGCTTGAATATCATGTTCCTTATGATGCAAAATCATATCACCGTCTCAGTAGTTGGCTTCAGATCGCTGTCACACCAAGTATTGAAGAGCTCAACCTTGTAGTATGGCCGAAAGAGACAACATTTATTTCGCAAAAAAGAAAGAAAAAGGCAACGTTTAACTTTCCAATCACACTTCTGTCTGACATGTGTAAAGGCTCAATTCAGCATCTTCACCTTGCCAATGTGGACCTGCATCCAACATTTCAACTTGGTTTGAGAACCCTGAAATCGCTGCATCTGCATGGCGTGAATATTACGGGGGACGAGTTAGGGTGCCTTCTATCTAATTCCTTTGCTTTGGCACACTTGAGACTTCAATATTGTCATGACCTCATTCGCCTGGAGATACCTTGTCTGCTGCAGCGGCTTAGGTTCCTGGAGGTGCTTGAATGTAGCCTTCAGGTGTTAGAGATCAATGCCCCAAATATCTCGAGATCCCGCTTACTAGATTTTAATGTGAAACTCTCGCTTGGAAAGTCGCGGAAGATGAAGTACCTGATGTTGAACAATAGCTGTGTCATCAGTTATGCTATTGACAACCTTCCTTCCTGCGCGCCGAAAGTTGAGACTCTTACCATACATTCTAGTTATGAGGTATTCTCTCACAATTAAGTTGGTAAGTGATACAAGAGTAGCCATATCTTGGAAATAATTAACCTGAGCCATCTTTATGCAGATTATTAATGCACCAGTGGCATCTGGCAGATTTTGCCACCTCAAGATCTTGATTATTTATTTTTTTGGATTCCATTCTCATCGGGACTATGATTATTTATCCTTGGTTTCTTTTTTTGACGCTTCTCCTTTGTTGGAGAAGTTTGTCTTGTTTGTAAGTCACTGTTCACCCTTCAAAGATTATCTATTTGCCATGTTTGAATCATGAATTTAAATGTTTTGTTGGCCTTTGATCTTCAGGTATCGCCAGTGCAGTCCAAGTATGACTGGTTTGAGGGAGATCCCACATCTCTGAGACAAATGTCAGAACACCGCCATCGCAACCTCAAGAGTGTGAAGATCAGTAGTTTCTGCCCCCAAAAAAGCATGGTTGAGCTAGCACGTCATATTCTTGAGAATGCAACATCACTTGAGTGCCTTACATTGGACACCACTCCTGCTAGCTACCGGTGTTCTGGTGATATACTGGACAGACAATGCCCTCCACTGGAAACTGAATGTATAAGGGATGCACATAAATCACTCTTGGCTGTGAGAACATACATCGACGGGAAAGTTCCCTCTACAGTCAAGTTAAACCTAATAGGGCCTTGCACCCGGTGTTATGCCCTGTGAAATTCAGACGTCAAATCATCGTGCTTATCCTATTTTAAATTATGCAAGTTTAGCTGTGTTGTGCTTTGCCTTTTAAGTTCGTATATATAGCTGTCTAGTGTTTGGGGGTCTGTGATAGTACTCCCTCCGTTCGGAATTACTTGTCGCAGAAATGGATGTATGTAGACGTATTTTAGTTCTAGATACATCCATTTCTGAGACAAGTAATTCCGAACGGAGGGAGTAGTTTCTTTTGACTTATCAACAGACAATCCAGTTTATGTAATATTACTGTATTCACAGGCCAGCATATTGTTGCGGATCGAGTTTATATATTTTTTGGCTTGCAGTCATGCCGAACAGTTGTACTCCCTCCGTTCCAAATTACTCGTCGCTAAAATGGATGTATCTAGAACTAAAATACATCTAGATACATCCATACGTGAGACAAGTAATTCGGAACTGAGGGAGTATGAGATAATGTAAACTAAATTGTGATGAAGAAACTCTGGCAAATGCTGAACTGTTCAACGATGTTGAATCGGCAGCGTCCATGTGCTCTTGGTGGGATGAGCTCACCTGCCCCTTTGACCCCAATTCTGTGTCTGCGGCTCTACACTTGCTGGAACCTTTGGAAGGAACGGAACAGAAGAGTCTTCGATTCAATCTCTACAGATGAAACTGGCGTTGTGCATCTTATCAAGCAAGACCTCCAGCCTATCTCTCTGACCGTGAGAATGGTCCACCCCCCGAACCTGATTAATTGCCTTTGTTTTATTTCCTTTTGCGGGCTACAATTAGCATCAGCCTTCTCGGGTACCCAGTTTGGAGCTCTGGGGTGAAAACCCAAGGTATGAACAGAGTTGGTTTACCTGGCAATGGCGATGTTTTTGTGTTGTGACGTGTTGAAGGCATTGCTCAGATAGCTCCGACTTATTCTTTAGCGTGAAAACCTAGAACCTGACCTTTGGTGATTGGATCCGGTAACGGTGACGCTTGAGCATCATTCCCTTTTTGAAGGCGTTGGTGTTGGAAAATATTTGGATATGGTCGTTGTTTTAGTTTATCGATCGTTGCATTGATCGCTTTGATTTTTCCTTTTTTCTTTTTCTTCGCTTAGGCAAAACTTTGGTCTCATATGACTTTGTCATTTGCCAGCGTGTTTATTTGTGTTTTGACGTTGGCTATGTGAATCCTACCTATATAGAGGTGCGTGTGTACTTATTGTATTTGTATTCCCTTGATGTTTCATTTTAAGTGCTCCTCCTTAGTAGATAGGCTGAACACCACCAATTCCTAAATAAAAAGAATACTCCGGTTATCCGTTTCAATCTTCTAGCAACGTGGAAAAAAAATAGTGACCTGGTTTATATTGACAAATAATATTGTTTACTTGTGGTGCAATTTGCTGCACACGGAATCTTAGGAGAATATCACATGAAACCAGCATTCGGTGGAAACTGATGAAAACCACGCGAAAACCATGTTTTAAAGTTCTGAAAAAATCTCAATAAATTACATGATGTTAAGATGGTGATATTCTACTGCCATGCAAAATTTCAAGCTTAAACACATTACAAGATGGGAGCTATGAAGAAAAAAAAAATCAGGGAAAGCATTGAATAGTGCTGAAAAGCAACGTAACTATTTATTGTTGAATTTGTCTTTTTTATAGTTCATATCTCATAATGTGTTTTAACTTGAAATTTCACATTACAATAGAAACATCCTCTTAACATCCCATATTTTTTTTCAGATTGTTTTGACACTTACAAACATGGTTTCCACGAAGTTTTTTTTTTTGAATGTTCGTTTCCAATGATATTCAAACTCCCCACGAGCCAACGGAGTAGAAGACATAATTGCTTTCTTCTGGTTTAATTTGTCACAGTCTAGTAATGCACCTTTCTGAATCAGAACAAACCAATCGTCAAATCCATCTATCATCACATGCATAACCAGTGACGGAGCTACAGTGGTAATTTTGGGCAGGCCGGTACAAAGGGAGCCCACTATGTTTTTCAAAATGTCCTAGTCTAATCTCAAGCCTCCACTGTCTTTTCTCTGAGCTGGGCGGGCCATGGCCCATCCAGTCTTACTGTAGCTCCGTCAATGGGCATAATCATAAAAAACATCATTAAAAAGGTACGGTTATTATAACAATATAAAGTTGATGATTCCCGTGAAGAATTTGATTGCCGGATCGGGCTAATTCCATACGAATCAGTATGGAGAAGCATGTGGCCGTCACTCCTACAATGGCACCAACGATGAAATAGAGTCCCAATATACTTATGGTTAGTAGAAAAGATCCGTGGAACTACATTTGTCATTTGCTTTTTGTTTGGTGAAATGGAGCAACATCCGCTAGGCTACTGAAGACTCCCTCCAGGCCCCCGCGTCGCTCCCTCCCCTTGGCAACATGGGAGGCGGTGGCGCCTCCAGCCCTCTAGTCCTCTCCCCACGCTCCTCCCTCGCCGCCGTCAGCGCTCTCCTCAGAGCAAAGCCTGGGCGGAGCCGGGATCTGTTTTGCTCGCCTCGGTTGGTGACCCGTGTGTGGATCAGGGAGTCCGTGGCAGGGTTTAGAGGTCGGCGTGGCATCCTCGCATTGACGCGTGCGGTGGTGCGGCCGAAGATGCATCGGGGCATTTGTGCAGCGGCGGAGGTTGCCGGTGCGCGAGCTCGCTGGTCCAGGTCGAGGCGGCTCCCGATATGCTTGCTCCGGCGCTTAGCATATTGATCGTTCAGTCTATTGCTATTGATTTCTTCATGTCAAATATATATTCCTTCGACTATGAGATTATGCAACCCCCCGACACCGGAGGAGTACCTTGTGTGCTATCAAACATCACAACATAACTGGGTGATCATAAAGATGCTCTACAGGTATCTCCGAAGGTGTTTATTGAGTTGACATAGATCGAGATTAGGATTTGTCGCTCCAAGTATCGGAGAGGTATCTCTAGGCCCTCTCGGTAATACACGTCATAAGCTTGCAAGCAAATGAGAGTCACAAGGTGATGTATTACGGAACGAGTAAAGAGACTTGCCGGTAATGAGATTAAACTAGGTATGAAGATATCGACGATCGAATCTCGGGCAAGTAACATACCGACATACAAAGGGAATTACGTATGTTGTCGTAACGGTTCGACTGATAAGGATATTCGTAGAATATGTAGGAGGCAATACGGGCATCCATGTTCCTTTATTGGTTATTGACTAGAGAGGTGTCTCGGTCATGTCTACATAGTTCTCGAACAGTAGGGTTGCACGCTTAACGTTCGTTGACGATATAGTGTTATATGAGTTATATGTTTTGGTGACCGAATGTTGTTCGGAGTCCCGGATGAGATCACAGACATGACGAGGAGTCTTGAAATGGTCGAGAGGTAAAGATTGATATATAGGACGATGGTATTTGGACACCGGAAGTGTTTTTACCGGGAAGGAATCGGGTCACCGGAAGGGGTTCCGGGCACTCCCCCGTAAGTTATGGGCCTTATGGGCCAAAGGAGGGGACAGAACAGCCCACAAGGGGGCTGGTGCGCCCCTCCCTTGTTTGGCCAGCCATAGGGAAGGAAAAGGGGGAGGGCTCCCGCCTTTCCCTCTCATGGGAGAAAGGAAGGGGGGGGGGGGGCAGCCTTCCCTACCTTTCCCCGCACTACAAATAAGGAAAGAGGGGCACAACTTGGGAGGGACCCCAAGTAGGATTCCTCCTACTTGGGCGCCTCCTTTGGCTGCTCCTCCCTCCCTCCCACCTATATATATGTGGGAGGGGGGCACCTAGCACACAACAGATAATTGCCTAGCCGTGTGCGGCGCCCCCTCCGCCGTTTATACCCCCAGTCATATTTTCGTAGTGCTTAGGCGAAGTCCTGCAAAGATAACTTCACCATCACCATCACCACGCCGTCGTGCTGCCGTAACTCATCCACTGCCTCGCTGTCTTGCTTGATCAAGAATGCGCGGACGTCAACGAGCTGAACGTATGCTGAACACGAGGTGTCATACGTTTGGTACTCGATCGGTTGGATCGCGAAGAAAGTTCGACTACATCAACCGTGTTGTCAAACGCTTCCGCTTATGGTCTACGAGGGCACGTAGACATACTCCCCCTCGTTGCTATGCATCTCCATGGATAGATCATTGCGTGTGCGTAGATTTTTTTGTTTTTCCATGCAACGTTCCCCAAAAGTGGTATCCGAGCCAGGTCTATGCGTAGATGATATGCACGAGTAGAACACAAAGAAGTTGTGGGCGGTGATGTTCATACAGCTTACCACCAACGTCTTATTTTGGTTCGGCGGCATTGTGGTATGAAGAGGCCCAGACCAACCTTAATTACATGTCCACGCACATGAGACCGGTTCCACTGACTGACATGCAACTAGTTTTGCATCAAGGTGGCTGGTGGGTGTTTGTTTCTCCTACTTTAGTTGAATCGAATTTGACTGCGGCCGGTCCTTGAAGAAGGTTAAAACAACAAACTTGATAAATCACCGTTGTGGTTTTGTGCCTTACGTAAGAACGGTTCTTCCTAGAAACCCATAGCAGCCACGTAAAACTTGCAACAACAAAGTAGAGGACGTCTAACTTGTTTTTGAAGGGTATGTTATGATGTGATATGGTCAAGACATGATGTGATATACGTTATTGTATGAGATGATCACGTTTTGTAATTTATCGGCAATCAACAGGAGCCTTATGGTTGTCTCTTTATTGTATGAAATGCAAGCGCCATGTAATTGCTTTACTTTATCGTTATGCGTTAGCAATAGTTATAGAAGCAATAGTTGGCGAGACGACCGCGACACAACGATAGATATCAAGGTGTCGAGCCGGCGACGATGGAGATCATGACGATGCTTTGAAGACGGAGATCAGAAGCACAAGATGTGTTGGGGAACGTAGCAGAAAATAAAAATTTTCTACACATCACTAAGATCAATCTATGGAGTCATCTAGCAACAAGAGAGAGGAGTGCATCTACATACCCTTGTAGATCGCGAGCGGAAGCGTTCAAGAGAACGGGGTTGATGGAGTCGTACTCGTCGTGATCCAAATCACCGATGATCCTAGCGCCAAAACGGACGGCACCTCCGCGTTCAACACACGTACGGTTGGGGAAGACGTCTCCTCCTTCTTGATCCAGCAAGGGGAAGGGAGAGGTTGATGGAGATCCAGCAGCACGACGGCGTGGTGGTGGAAGCAGCGGTGATCTCGGG